AAAGGGCATGAAGGGCGGATGCAAGACCGCATGTGCCTACTGCCCCCTATCACTTTATAAAAACAAGGTTGAATCTCTAATTTGGTTCTTTAATTATTGTATAAATCTTTAAATTGGTGCTTGAACTTAAATAATTTTTAATATGATCCCTAAAGTTTTTAAATTGTTTTAAACTGATTTTTTTGTTAAAAATAATTAACGTATCTATTATTTAACAATTATATATTACATTAATAACAGAACATGTCAATTATTTTTTAATAAAGAAATCAATTTAGAATCAAATTTAAAAATTTTAAAAATCAAATCAAGAATTTTTTTTAGTTTAGAGACTAAATTAAGGGTTTATACAATAATTAAGGGATCAAGTTAGGGTTTAGGAAGAAACAATTGATTGTTATGGTGATGAACCACAGCTGTTAGTCTTTCCAGGTGGCATAGCAGAGTGAAGAAATTTGCTAATTGCGACGGAGTTAGGAGGTCGGAAAGTTTAACTCAGAACGGGCCGAGTTCTAATGGGCCTGGTGGCACAGGTCCGTGATTCCGTACAACTTTTCATTTGGGCCTTCGGGTGGTGAATGGGTGGACGTCTATTAACAACTAGTGGTGGATGATGTGTTGTGATTGTAATTATCTCTTCTTCTTCTTTTTTTTTTTTCTTTTCTTTTTTTCTTTTTTCATTATTTTTGGACGAAAAGAGTAAAAAGGTTCCTTTAACATTGCTAAGAAGGCCTTATCTAGGATTTGTTCTTTTCTGCCAGGGATAACTCTACGAATGGTGGGAGTCTCTTGACTCTTGCCATCACCTTGAAGGAGAATATATGAATAGTTAAAATACCAATTTAATCCCTCAATTTTCAAAGTTATATTAAAGTTATCCTTCAACTTCAAAAAATACTAAATTACCCCTAAACTTTAATTCTCAATATCAAAAAAAGTCTTTTGTTAACAAAAGTGTCATGTAACTCATTATTTTATCACAAAATTAGTTTTTTTTAAAATGCATTAATAACATATAAAATCAAATACTTATATTTTACATCGTAATATATTTTTATTGACATATTAGATTAATACAAAATCAAAGTTGAAAAACTAAATTTATATTTGTAATCAAAGTTTAAGGATTAAATTGATACTTATCTTCAAAATTTAAGGACTAAGTTAGTACTATCTTCAAAGCTTAAGGACTATTTTGGAATCAAAAATTAAAATTCAAAGACCATTTTGGTAATTTTTGAAGTTAAAAGATAAGTCTGGTACAAATTTAAAAGTTAAGGGACCAAATTAGTATTTTAACCTATATGAATCTGCATTTCTATTTTCTGTAGCAACAGATGTTCTCAGCACAAAGTATACTTCAGAAATGAAATTCTTTAATCCATCCAGAAATCATCAGCATTGATCAACACAAACATATTGACTCTGATACAGTGATTAAACACACAACACTAGCTTTTTGTTAAGACAGGTTACAACAAATTAACAAGATAACAATCTCCAGGAACAAGCTCTTTAGAGATTTTCAATCCAGACTCACTGTAATACAGGCATGAGATAACTTTAAACTACATATCATATTCAGCCATAGGGGATGTATATTACAAAACTAACTTAATCCTTCAGAAAGTTCACAATTCAACTGACAACTGTGCCTTGCCATTCTTTGGATTAACTTCTAAGACATCCGTAGGCAATTTTGACCAGACCACAGAGTTGGTCATCCTCCTGTGGATAACCATGGATATAATCAGCAGCAAACACACAACAGCAATCGAAGGGACTAGGACACCAACATTTGTTCTAGGCCAGCACTTCTTCATAACCCACTCTGCAGATACTTTTCCATCAAGACTACCCATTGAATTGTTTATCTTCATGATCTCAACCCCATTTAAGATAGCATCCACAGCATATCCCATGCTGTCGACTGAAGGTCCAACACTTAAACTCAAAACCCCTGAATGATCAGCATCAACCAGAAAGTCTGCATAAATTGGGGATGCCAGGACATAATCTGTAGCATCTGAGAGATCCAAATTCTTGTATGCTAAATGCCCATTAACATAAACATTGAAATGCAGCGTGCCGAGAGTTGAACTAGCAATATCACAGAAATGCACGCGAACAAGATATGTATAACCCTCAGTCACTGGAAACTCCCAAGTAAGATTCATATCAGGAATGGAAGCATTCTTACTACGAATCACACGAGCAGTATTATACACATTATCTGGGCAAACTTCACGACTTGATTTACCTGATTGGTACCTAATCCTACCACTAGAGTACACCCTCTCCCACCCATCTCTTGATTTCAAGTACTCATCATCAGGAACCCAAGTCCTCCACAAACTACCATTGAAAGGTGTCACTTTGGGACCTCCAACATTGATCCTATGCACAATTTCAAGAGCTTGCTTGTTTAACTCACCAAAATTCTCAATCTTATCAACATACGCAAATTGGGAAGCATTCAAAATCAAGTCTTTAGGGGCAGATATCACTTCAATTGCATTAACAAACCCAAATTTAGACTTCTTTGCAGGCAGAAAAGTAATCTCAAGCTTCCCACTATTAACCCAGATCAAATATTCCATGACCCTAGGGCTGGCAAGACACCCACCACTAAAATTGTTCAAAACGACGAACCCATCGACCAAGACATGAAATTGGGAATTCAGGAAATCAACTTCCAAAGAACTTACTCGGTGAAAATGGAGGCGAATCATGTGGGTACCTGTGTCTTCGACATCGAATTCGTACTTGAGAGGTGCCTTGAAAACCCTTGCGGTGTTGTAGATTTGGGGGAGACCTTGAACATGGTCTTGAGCACTGATTGAGATTGTCCGAGCCGAGGAGGAGAAACGTGTGCTTGATGCCGACGAATCGGATATGAAGAGACGATTGTCGACGGTTGAGTCCACAGCGGAACCGCAATCTAAGAGGTAATTGTCAACGGGAGAGAAAGAAAAACACAGATGATAAAGTGTAGATAGAGAAAGAAGGAAAATAAACAAAGTGGGATGCCAAGTCTCCATGAGAGAATGAGAGAAGCCACGGAATTAAGGAGGAAATGGTGTGTTTTCCCGCATTTATCAGAGGAAAACCATAGGGAGACGACTAAGAGTTCACGGGGTCTACGCGTCGTACAGCGGGTGGAATGAGACAGGGAGGAAGAAAAGTAGCGCCCCATTTTCAAAGTCAAGTGCGCGTTGGTGCGCTGGACGCTACTCGGGTGTGGGCCTCAGCCGAAGATGACACAGATATCTACGCCTACAAAAGTATCAGTGACATTGTATTTTAGGTTAGGACAAAAGAATTATATTTTTGTATCTCACAAAATTTTTTTTATTTTTTAATTAATTTATAAATAATTATAATATGTAAAAAAAAAAAAAAAAACTCATTGCTTAAGGGGGAAATTTCTGTATGGCTATATGCTGCATCACTTGGTAGGTAATTTG